AAGTGATTTAAAATTCCAGCAACATTTTTCAAAATAAATTTTTGCTGGAACCTACCTTCAAATGACAGATATACTACTATGCAAACCTTTAACCTAACCTCCAATGTTAAAAATATTTACTTGTAAATAGAAATCTTCAAGTTTTACTTAGTTTATAGAATATTAAATTTTTTCCTAAAAACAAAAACATATTTTAATTGGAAACAAAATTTTAGATCATAATGCACAAGAATTGTTTACAACATGCTACACAAACTAAAATTGTCGTTCTTTTCCCCTAATTTTTGGTAATAATCATAATAACTGGCTGTTTACCGGAGGCAATTTATGTATAGAAATTGACCAAAACATATTTAAACACCCTCTATGAATATTTTTGTCAAAACATAAAAAGAAAGGTGTGTTTAATTCATAAACAACAATATATGTATGTATGTATATTTTATTTCTAAATAACATAAAAGGCATGTATGTTTATATAAATACACATTTCAAAACTGTCCCCCTCTTGCAACCTCAATTTTTTACATATATATTTTTTTTTTTTTTTTTTGTTTAATAAATAATGGCCATATTGGCACCTTTATTGTTGTTCACTTGAATTCCCTGATTCTACTGATTTACTTACTTAGTTGTTTGTGAGTAAGGCCCAAATACAATACCTACTGGTATGAGTTTTTATATATATCACACACACATATGTATTTTAGTTTGATTGTAAATATGTAGGACCCTTTTTTCTCTGGGTTGTATGTTGCAGTGGCAATTATTATTATTAAAAGGTGCCAAACTGCTTTTGTTGTGGTTTTATTTAAGTTTTTACCCTGTAGTTATTTAATTTTTTTGCTTTTCGTGTAATAAGTTTATATAGTTGATACTTTTGTGGTTAATAAATAACTTTATATTTATTATAGTTTATGTTTTTGTACGTGTTTTTATTTATTTCATTTAATTCTTTTTTTTTTGTTATTATTTGTTTTTCTTTTTGGTGTTTTTGTTTATGGCCTTGTTGTAGTATTGTCATTTAGTGATTAATGACTTGTTGGTGTTTAAAATGTCTGATGGCGTTATATTTTTTCTACACACGTAAACATTTTTTAACTAAATTCTGTAATTGTGTTAAATTACGGCAAAAGTGAATTGAAATATTGTGGTATTTAATTTTATAAAATACATATATTATTTGTGCACTTAATTTTAAAAAATTAGGTCTTCATTATTGGTTCTATTTGTTTAGCATTTGTGAATTCTAATTTTTCATAAAATATGCAATAAAATATTGGTTTCATTTCAAAAATTCACATTTCAATCACAATCAAATTTTAACCTTCTAATACTTACACTATTTGTTCCTGTTCAATATATTGAAATATTTTATATCTTCTCCACTTTCATTTCCTGTACACATCATTTAAACGGAAACACGAATTTTGAATTTCCTTTTAGTCGAATTTCAAAAATATAAAATCGTATACGTTTTACAACAAATAATGATTTATTATTTACCACCAAACATTTCAAAGATGTTTTATGGACCATGATTTTTTTATGCCACAATAATATTGACAAAATAAAATGACAAACTGGAAAAAAAAACACAAGCTTACACACAGTGTTTATGCTACCTGGCTATTAATCACATTTTTGCAAAATACAATAAAAAGGGAAAAGGACAGAGATCACTTAATAAGATGTGTGGTAACTTGTTGAACCAATAATTAAATTTTGTATTACTATATATTCCCTGATATTTTAAGTTATGTGCCGATTTTATGTTAAATATGTCAGATATAGAATATTTTGGCCCTTAGTTAGTTTAACTGAGTGCAGACCTTGGAATCCAAATACATACACATGAATACATAATGTTTTATGTTTAAATGAACATACTCGTACAACATTTCAGATGTCTGTTAACGCCAGTGGTGGTATGTGTCTTTTGAATCCGGTAAGAGTTCAATATTTACAATGCAGTCATGTGTAATATAAGAGTAAAAAGGTAAAAGTTTGTTTGTTGTTTTGACTGAATACATACATATGTATACAAACGTATATGAATTGAATACATACATACAAACATTCATATAAACATATTTATTCTCACTTACAAACATTTGCTTGTACCAATATACATGATTGAAGGATATGTTGATATAAATTTACACGCAAAAAAAAATTATAAATTTACAGGTGTAATATTAGAAATGTGTTATAAATTAATCTTGCTTAGCTTAAAAGCTGACAGTATTTGTCAAAGATAATATAAAGTAATTAATTGAATTCAAGAAACATGATGAAGTACAATAGGACACTTAAAATTACAGTTCAATCATTAGTAAAATTATTCCCGGTGTATACGTGATATTTGAGTTTATCATCGTACGTTTTATGTGCAGTAAATTAATTCTACTACTACTGCCTTTTCGCCTTCATATGTACGTGTAAATAAAACATGAAATCGCAAAATTGTGAAAAGTTTCCATAAAAGCAATCAATTAAACTTTAGATCGATATAAAATGTACCACCCATCCACCAAACAGCCATCATCAATTCCAACAGCAACAAGAAAAAAACATCAATGAAAGATACATACATACATACATACATGCAATATTGACAAAATGTGAACAAAAGGATGCAGTCAGTGAAAACTTTATTGTTATTTTTATCCTTTTTTCGTGGGTTTAATCGAAAAAAGTAATTTTATTGTTCGAGTTTTAATAAAAATAGTTCAAACTAAATTATTATGTGGAGTCAAATCAACAATCAAAATAGTATTTTCTATGCTTAACCAGTAAAGTGAAAACAACTCAACCCACTAAAATACTAGTACTATACCCTTAAAGTGGTATCTGTTGTCTTCGGCAACAGCACCGAACTTATCAGACTATTAACCGACATTATATTTTGATTTTATATAAACTAATTCTATCTATGGTTATCGTGGTAGTTCGCTGCACGCGAACAGTCAAGGTGAGTCGAAGGGACTACGTTTTGACAAATTCTATCTATAAAAATAACAATATTCTAAATCAAATATAATCAATATTTTTTATTATAACGTTCCCTTCATCATAATAATAAAAACCGTCAGCACCCAACATATTATGAATATTTTGTCAATGGTTGTACTTTGTTCAAAATACCTTCTTAAACACGCTCTAGCGCCAATGAATAACATACAACTCAAACTTTAAATTAAATGCAAAAACAGAAATAGAAATATAAACGTAAAAAACTTACTGTAAGTATGTCTGTAAATAAACACGATTGTGATCAAAAGGTAAAAAATATAAATATGTATTGTGTGTTTGTTTGTATTTATTCCAAACCTTATCAATTTAAAAAAATCTTTGTGTTGTAATTAAAATAAACATTTACATTTGTGCTTTACAACACATACAATGTTTTTTTTTTTTTGGTTGGTCACTTTTTTTGTGCAGAAATTATTGAAAAATATTATTTGTATCTCATGCAGTTTGTATGAGTTTGGTATGAGTTACACATGCAATTATTTAAGCCTAAATAAACATTAATAAATATTTCAGTTTATTTATATGGTTTTCATACCTATGAAAGATATTTTTCTGAAAAAAAAAATATTTTTTTTTATAAAAAACACGATGACAAAATGTTAGTTAAGTTTGGTTGTGTTGAACAATTATGTTACTATATAAAAATGCTACTTTATTACAATGATTATACAGTACTAATCCTCTGTAATTGACGATGTATAGTGCATAATACACTATTGTCCAATTTTAAGAAACTCAATTTCCTTGATGTACATAATTTCTTAGAGTTTTTCAATCAGTTTTCTTGAAGAACGAAGTGCCTAGAATAGCACCGATCCCAAGAATTTTGATCTAATTTCGAAAGCCATGAGAATTTCGTCTATTACCGACAATATTTGGAAAGTTTAATATATCAAAGTTTTACTGTAAACATAATCAAATAGCAAGTGGTTGCTAGTAGTTGTTGTAAAAATGTGTAATATACAATTTAAATATGACTAAAAACATTTATGATATGTTGCACTAAAACCGTGCAAATGATTGCATGTTTCAGCTTTCATAAACTGCACTCAGCCAAATGTTTTTTTTTTTTTTTTTGCATATTTGTGTAGGTAGGATCGTGTGAGGGAATATGGTATTTAGCACTGAAGTGAAGTGCGTGCTGTAACAACACACTTTAAATACCAACCAGCCAGCCAGAATGTATGTATGTTGTTACTAACGACATATTGAATCAACTATAACTATAATTTGTCTGGCTGCTAACATGCTTCAAAATAAAACTAAAAAAAATCCATTAAACAGTAGATCCTTTAACAGTTCCAAGTAATATAGAGAATATTACAAATATTTGTCTGGATATTAAGGGAGTAGTGTAAAAAATTCTATAAACATTAAGCAAAAGCTTTTGCTGGATTCAATGCAATTTATGTGAACTTGTTACAAATTGCGTGTTTTCATTTCAAAATATACAAGTTTAATGATGTGTTTTTTTTTTTTCATAAATATTTTTTCGTAAATGCATTTTAAATATGTACAAATGTACGTTTGTAAGTATTCGTTCGACGAAATACCAGCTCGCTACATGCAACACTATTTACATACAAAGTTACATACATAGGCAAATAAATTTCAATTTAGTTTTCAAAAAGTATGCGTGTGAGTTGAAGTTTTTATCACAGCTTTTATTTGTGTATGAAATTTGCAAAGAGAGGTGGTATTTTCATAATTGTCAGTGGGTAATTTTTCAATTCAAATCAACAAAGGTAATAATTTATTCAAACTACTAAATATGTTTAGGTGTTACTAACTAACAAGTAAGGAAGGTGGCGATTTGTTAGGCGATAAGGAAATAATATTGAGTGAAAATATTTATTGAAACCATGATTAATTTTAGGAAAAATATAGGGGTTTGTCTGAAAATGAATGAATCAAAAAGTTTCAAATTATTAATTCCTACTTTTTCGTTATTCTTTTGCTTGCAGATGCCAAACGTAGAAAAGTTGCCAACACAGAGTCTATACTTGATAATAACAATGCCAATACAACATTTTCCCCCGCCACAACAACAACAACATCATCCACAACAGATTCAAAATCAATATTTACTTCAGATGTCAGTGGTTCTGGTGGACAGCAACAAACTAGTCATAATTCAACATTTAAAATGCTGCCACCCCTGCAGCAACAACAACAACAGCAGGAGCAGCACCAACAACAGTTGTCAAATCATCATCAACAACAACTGCAGCAACAACAGCAACAACAACAATATATGATAACAAATCCCACTTACAATAACAATGGCATGATGGAAAGTGCTAATAAAACATGGCCCAAAGATGATAGAATGTTACCAACGCCGGCAGCATCAGCCGCATTAACACAACATGAATCAGCAGCTTCATCGCACATGATGAATAGTGACAGTGAAAATATACAATGGTCATCGAATTTGTGTAATAAACCACAACTTACATGTCATACAAAGCAACAGCAGCAACAACTAACAACAACGTCAGCAGCTGATACCAATAATAAAGAACACCAACAGCATCAGAGACAGCAAATGGATCACACATCATTGTATAAAGATGACCTCAATGGTTATTTACAGCAACAAACGACATTGGTACACAATTCAATGATGAATTTAGAAACTGTTCAAGAGGAATCTGTGCCAGAAGGTGACCAAGAAGGTGAATTAGAAGAAGATGATGACGAGGAAAATGGACAAGATGATGAGGAGGAAGAAGGCGAGGAGGAAATAGATGGCGATGAAGAGGATAACGAAGAAAAACAGTGCTCACGTGAACAACTTGAAGAGGGTGAGATATTAAAACATGCCAACACTTTGACAGATTGCATTACCAATCAAGAGCTTGAGGATGAAATGGAAGAAGAAAATGCTGAAGAAGACCTTAATGAAGACGAACCTGAAGAAGATGAAGAAGAAGGGGAAGGTGATGAGGAAGAAGAAGATGGAGAGGAGGAGGAAGATGAAGATAATGACTGTGAAACCCAAACCGTTTTAAGTGAACAAACTGTGATTGATAAAACTTCTTTAGATGTTTCAAATAATAATAGCCTCTTAAATACTAACAATACTCTCAATTTCTACCAAATGCCAAATTCACAAAATCAAACTATAAAACAACATCATTTCACCAATATTCAAAATATTGTGTCACCTAGTCAAACTGCTATTTCGAATAAGTTTTCCTTTAGTAATTTAAAAAATTCAACACAAGTTACCCTTAACCCACAAAACACTCAGCAGAATCTCTTTAAACAGCAGCAACAGCAGTCCTCGGTTAGAACCCCTATTAAACTTATACCCACTGCTCAAGAATCTCCAGTTTCCTCTAGCACTTTGGGAGGACCACGTTCCACACCCGATCTACAACGCAAAACACCAGATAATACCAAAAAACCCGAGCAAGTGGGAGCTATATCCACAAGCAATGAAAGTCCAAAACCTTGTCCTGCTTCGCCGGCTGGTTCAATAGAATCAAGCAGTACCAAAATATCAAACTCCAAGGCAGCGCCTTCCCCCTTACCCTCACCTATTACAACGCTTCATTTGAAGCCCCAGCAACAAGGATCTCTGCAAAAACATCCTCAGCAAGTACGTATTTTAAGGCATATAAAGAATGCCGGTCAGATACAACAATTAACACAGCAGCAACCACATCGGCTAGTAGCCACTAATACTTCAAGAGCTACTGTCACCACCATCGCTGGCAGTAGAGGAGCAGCCACCACCACTACTACCACCTCCTCATCAGGACAGCGTATTAATCCTACAGCACCACCCACTGTAAATCAGAAAATACAGGCAACTGTGCAAAAAGTAACCGCCAATAGCACCACTAGCATACCTATCAGTCAACTGCAGCTGCAGCCATTGCTAAGGTCCAACGATAATACAGGAAATTCTCAAATTATTATGACTTCCACTGGTCAACTTATAGTTATGCCGTCCTCGAATAATAAACCACACATACAACAACAGCAGCAAGTGATAATTGCTAGTGGCAATGCGACAACAACTACACAATCACATGCAACAACAAATGTAATTATACAACAACAGGGCACTCAACAAATGGATGTCTTAAACAATACAGGACAATTGGCGACTGCTACACTGCAGCAGCAATCCAACGGTGGCTACATCGTCTCACAAACTGCAAACACGCAAGCTTCTACTACACAACTACAACCCACTACAGTCATTTTGAATTCGGGACAAAATCTAATTACTAACAATGGTACCAAAGTTCTAACAAATACCGGCAACATAATACACACAGCCGGTGCACAACCCATAATTACAACAGCAAATCAATTGCTTACCACACCATCAAATACAGGCAATGCCACAAATGTGTTGGGCCAACAGACAGTGGTATTGAATGCTCTACCTAATGGGGGCTATGTTATACAGCAACAACAACCACAAGTTACACAAGCGGCAACACAACCTCAGCAGCAACAATTTACCACCTTGGACAGTCAAGTAGTACAACATTTGGTGCAACAACCGGACGGACGTATTATAATAACATCTCAAAGTGATCCTAAAAGAAGACCTAAGAAACGAAAGACATCCCCTGTACCCACGGCCAATTCTACAAATATTACTACACAAATATCGCCTACAATACCAAATCAAACTGCTGCATTACTGCAGCAGCATGTAGCAAATTTGCAAGCTGCTACCCCTGCAGCTCAAGCAACAAATCAACCGCAAGTAGTGCAACTTACCACAGCACCAGCTGTAAATGCAGCTACTACAGCCACTTATCCGCAGCAGTTCCAATTGGGTAATGGCATACAGGGTATAGTGGTCAACAAACCGGCCTCAACAACCACAACTACACAACCTCAACAGATTTTACTGCAAAATGGTCAAATAATACAGCCAATGAATTTAATAGGTCAACAATTGATTTTACCCTCCGGTTTAGTTATGGCTCCCGATACTACGCTCTTGCAAATACAAAATGTTGGTTCCTGTGGACCAACCACCAATATACTCACTACTACACCACAAGGAACTATGATGTTGAGAGCAACTTCTCCACAAACCAATAAACAATTTATACAATCCACCACTACAGGGCAGCAATTCATTGTCGGCAGTAATGGCCAACTTAGTCCAATTGGTCAGATATATTCTACACCCATGGGTTTGGTAATGCCAGCCAGTACCCAACATAATCCAACAGCTACGGCAACTTTTGTACAGCAAAATGCCACCATACAAGTACAACAGCCACATCATCAAGTCTCTACGCCTCAGCATATAACACTGCAGGCCCTGCAGCAACATCAACAAAATCAACTTAATCAGCAACAACAGCAGCAGCAACATCATGTTGTTAGCAATCAAGTGGGTATTGTTTTGGAAACGGCTACATCCTCTACCACTTCACCCAATGCCCAGTTGGCTAATTCTCGTTCAGCGGCTGCTAGTCCTCCGGATACTACAACTCATAGTCCTAGAAGTCCTGAGCGACCACCAAGTCATCGCAGTGGTGGTAGTGATATGGTAAGTTTTTTTTTCGATTTTTAAGGTTATTTTTCATTTTGCTAAAATGATTTTAAATTTCTTCAAGGTTCAGTGTGTTTCCAGTTCGGAACCAGATGGTGGTACAGTCTCTCCGCTAAGCACTGACAGTCGCCAATCGCCTTCGACTACAGTTTGTGAAAAAGGTAAGTTTTGTTAGTATAGTTTTAAATTTAGTAAAATAATGTATTTCCTATTATGGTCATAGAAAGATGATTATTAACAGTTTTAATCGAAGTAAATAGCAAACACAGTAATTAAATCGAATCCTTCCCTATTGAACTAACCCACACTGTTCAAGAGTATTCGGTTTTCTCTGACTTTGTAGTAGTAGTGCGTGAACACATCAAAACTTTAGATAATACCAAGACCTAACAAAGTCTTGACTTAATAGAGTCGATTAAAGACCTCAACTGAACAGTCTATTTTGGTACAGTTTTTGGTTAGTTTTTGGTCAGTTTTTGACCTTAAATTTTCTTTTAATTGAAGATAACAGGTGAAATTAAAAAAGTTCGACAGATGTTCTAAAGTTCTGTCAGATTATTTATGTGGATTTTAATGTATAGGCGGTAGGTAGATATTTTTGCTCGTATAAAACTTTCATCGCTATACTCGTATTTTTAAGCCAGTAATGAGCGTTAAAGTCATTTTCTGAAGGGGCCTTATATAGGGTCAATTATGAACCGATCCTCATAAAATTTGGTAAATAGATTTTGGCTCATAAGAAACTTATTTATGTCGACAACTAGTATCGCTATAATCGTATTTTTATACCCACCATCAAAAAAGATGGGGGGTATATTGATTTTGTCATTCCGTTTGTAACACATCGAAATATTGGTCATAGACCCACAAAAGTATATATATTCTGGGTCCTCATTAAATTCTAAGACGATCTAGACATGTCTGTCCGTCCGTCTGTCTGTCTGTTGAAAGCGATAGAGTCCCAATGGAAAGAGCTAGAGGGTTGAAATTTCACATAATATTTCTTATAGGTAAGGTTTGTTTGGTATTGAAAATAGGCAATATCGGTCCACGTTTTCGGATAGCCCCCATACAAGTGGCCCCTCGAAAAGCAGCTTTAACAGCCATAACTTGTTTAAAAATACAAATATAGCGATGAAATTCGACATAAGTAAGTTTCATACAAGTCAAAATCTATCTAAAAAATTTTATGAGGATCGGTCCATGATTGACCCTACCCCCCATATAAGGTCCCCTTCAGAAAATGACTGCAACGCTCATTAATGGCTTAAAAATACGAGTGTAGCGATGAAATTCGACACAAATAAATTTAATACGAACCAAATTCTGTCTACCAAATTTTATGAGGATCGACCCATAATTGACCCTACCCCCTATATAAGGTCCCCTTCAGAAAATTACTTTAACGCTTATAACTGGCCTAAAAAATACGAGTATATATATGAAATTCGACATAAGTAAGTTTCATTCGAGTCAAACGAGGTTTGATGGTGGGTATATAAGATTCGGCATGGCCGAATATAACACTCTTACTTGTTAAGGCAGTAATGACTGTTAAAGCAGTTTTTTCCGGTGACCATTTGCATGGGGGCTATCCGACCAATATTTCCCATTTTTAATACCAAATCTATAGGAATATTTGTGCAAAACTTCAACCCTCTAGCTCCTTTCGTTCGGAGTCTATCGTGCATTCAACAGACAGACATGCGAACGGACATGGCTAGATCGTCTTAAAATTAAATAAGGACCAAGAATATATACTTTTGTGGGTCTATGACCAATATTTCGATATATTACAAAGGGAATAACAAAATCAATATACCCGGCATCTTTTTTGATTGTGGGTATAAAAAGTGGGAATTCAAACATCACCCCCTTCGTTTTCGATGAAATTTATTTTCTAAACTATATATTATTATATTAAAATTCTCTATGTTTTTCTCCCGATATGTTCTAATCTAGAAATTGGAAAATAGCCCTCCATGACATCCTTTAATATTTTTTAAAAATCAAAAACAAATGCCCTTTTTCAGCATAACATTTATTACTTTATGTTCTTTCTTTTCGAGAAAAAAAAAACTTCAACAAAAACATTAATGAAATACAAATTTTACCATGATAAATACCAAAATGGAAAAATATTAAACTTAATCCTTAAGGTATTCGAACTCTAACGTCCTTCATGACAATATAAAAGGCCACAAAAATATCTATTTTTTATGTACAACAATAAAATACAGATAAAAGGACCTTGTAATAACAACCAAATACATAAAATAAGAAATAACTAAGTAAATATGTACATATAAGGATTTTGGAGATTAGGACAGACTAGAAGAAACAGTAAATAAATACGAAAGTGTATGTTTTACATGACCCACTATGGTTTCTAAAAATGTTTAAAAAAACATTCAGGGTAAGACAAATGTCCTAAAGGAGCTTATTTTAGTGCGAAACCTACAATTATGAAAAATACATTAAAACGCCACATTAAATGAATAACAATTTTACAGTCATAAAAATAATATGTACATAAAATCAAAAAATAAAAGTTGTTTCAAACTGTTACACATTTTCCCCTTATTTAGGAAGAATTTGTGTATTTTATTTTTTTTGATACTGAGTGTCATAAATTGCATGCACTATTAGTCACCAGACTATAGCAGGCACACGCACTTATTATTGTATCAAATTTTTACAATTCATATATCATAAAACCAACAATGTAATAAGGAAACTCTTAACTTTTTTACATTTGTTACAAAATGTATAAACTTTAATGAAGCTTGACATTAAATTATGCTATTCAATGACTGAGGATATTAAGGATATGTTGAGTAGATTATGTTTTTTAATGGCTATGTATGTACATTAGAAGTGTACAAAACTATTTATTATGCTCAGATGCATCTTATTTTCTTTATTAGTGTCTAAAGCTTACTGGTGTAAAATTTTAGTAAAAATTTGAAATGGAACTCTACCGGTTATCGATTAAAAAGTGTAAAACTCTGTAAAAAAAGGACTTATGTTATTTTTTCAAAAATATTGTCCTTCAAATTATATTTTTTAATATTTGAACAGAATCTTATCTCCTAGAGAATTTTTTTCTTTCCAACAAGAAACAAGTATAAAACATTAATATCGAAGGTCTTACATATATATGTATTAACCTCAATGCATTTTCAAAGATTTAAGGATCAGTTGATCAGCATCTCAATAAAATTGTAAGGTTCGGTCAAATATTTTCCTATAAAAATTGTTTTTATTTTCCGCTATAAGATTAATACTAAGTATACATAAGGTTTTATTACTTAAGGAAGTCGTCATCTTTTTAATACGATTTCATTTGATTCCTTAACAAAATACATTTACTATGAATATGTCCTCACGATAGACAAACAAAATTTTATATAAATAAGAATTTTCAAGGAAATATAGAAAATCCAAAAAAAAAAGAAAAATGTTGAAAAATAATGTTGATGTCAGCTTTACTCAATAATTCTGCTGATATTGTTGTTGTAGCCAATAACAACAACACAAACAATAGCAGCAATAGCTACTTATAGAATATTAAGTATTTGTTATATAAGTAAGTGTTTGCTATTTTATTATATCGAGCTACAGCGGCTTATATTTTTTGCCTTAACTTTGATTTAATCCTGCTACTAAAATATGTTTCCTTTTCTAAATATTTGCTATATTTTCCATTTACTTTATTCATATTCAAACTCTCCCTTTTTCTTTGTACATTTTACAGGCATCGTTATGTCAACCGCATATCAAAATACAAATATTTATAAACCAACGGAAGCGAAAATACGTCGTGTACAAACACCACCTCAATATCAGGTTGTGGGTGGTGGTGTTGGTTCTGCTTCAAATAATGGTGGCACAGCAGCGACTGCCACACATATTACTGGCTTAACAAACTTGACTCTACAGCAGCAGCAACATAATACAGTAAATAATCCACAGCATCATCAGGCGGATAATGGTGGCAGTAATAAACCTGATACTCATGGTAAGTTTTATTAAAATTCCCTGTACTAGTTAATGCTCGAATTCAACTGCTTTCCTCTAATTCCTGTAACTTACAACATTCAACATATTTAGTAACACTTTTATATAAGTACATATATGTATTTATTTATGGTTGAATGGAAATGATAAGAATTAAGAAGTTGTATAGAGTTTTGTTACTTTTTATAATCATATTTATAAATAATAAAACTCATCCTTGCTAGAGTATAAATTTGACACTCATACAGTATGAAAGATTTCAATATTTTAACTAATACTTACTAACATATTGTTATACACTAGAGCATACTTTGAAATCTAAAAGCTCTCACAAGAGTTCATTGTAGATATGATTTTGGAATCCTTTGGAATTGTATTTTTAATATTAACCTACACTATTAACAAATTGCACACATCTACGTATGTACACATGTATATTAGAGTGTCCCGAGAAACTGCCTTTTTAAGGATCTCATGTAGGAATACCTCTCTAGAAATGGGTATTAATGTACTGAACACGAGAAAAATTAAAAATATTTTTTTGGAACGAGCCTCAGTTCCTTACCAGCGATTGAAAATTCTAATCTCAGTACGATGAGCTCCATGTACTCCATATTAGGAAATTTTTGACACCCATTGCGAAAACAATTTTTTTAATATATACATAGTACTGACATCAGGATTTTCAATCGCTGGTTTTTTATTTTTTGTATTGCTACATTAATACGCATCATTTGAGAGGTATTGCCATAAAAATGTGGTGCACGGGACACCCTAATGTATATATTTTAAAGTTTAAAAAGAATCTCAAGTAATGTACACTTATAATTAACTTAAATTGTTACTAATAACAAACTTTTAAGCTTAAACAAATTCTAACTGAAGTTAAAATTTTAAAACATACCCAGCAAAAACTTACATTGAAAAGTTAACATGCTAAAATTACTTAGACAATAACATTTTAAGTCATTATGGGGCGTGGTAAGTACTTACCACGCTCACTTACAAATAGGGAGTTAAATAAGTACTTACTACAAAAAAAATACAAAAATATTGTTTTTTGTGTAAGAAACAACATTCGAGAATGTCAAATATTAATTGTAAGTCATTACTAGTCTTCTTCTAAGTAATGCAGACGGTATGTAGTAGTAATTGGAAAGTCTATGTTTTTGCTAGGTATTTTAAAATTACATTTCTTAATTTGTATAATCCTAATGAAAACTGATTACTTGAGAAAACTTTCATAAATTAATAAATACATAGTTTTAGCACACACATAAACCCTTTATATACATTTATAGATACTTAATTATCCTTATACATGAAATTCCACTATTTTATACATTACTTCATATTTTCCTTAACTGCCATATTACCCATTCCCTTTTATCCACTTAAACTTATATTATTTTCTCTCTTATGTTTAATAATAGTTTATATCCTTGTGAATATATGATTAAAACATTGTATATTTTAAATTATTTATTATTACATTTCATTGCTCTTCAATTTATTTCATTATTTCTTAATATTTACACAAGCAATCACATATGGTAGACATACTTACATACATACAAGTAAAAGTATGTATATTTCAATATCTTTGCCGAATCCTTCAGCCAGGATAAATAACTGTTGTTGCCATATTTTCTTTTGTATTTTGCTTATAAAAAGCTTTTGTATGTATTATATGTTTTACTGTTGCTTTTTATACTTTATTGATTGCCTTAATAATTTTATTACTTTTATGCTAGTATATACATATGTACATCTATCTGTATGTATGTATGTATGTACATATTTTTTGCATATATTATTTTAACAAATAATACACACATTAACTTAATATAAATCTACATAAATTTATTTATTTGGTATTTTATTTATTAATATCCTTTTTATCATCACAAACATTTTTTTGTTGTCTTTGTCATGTTTATTTTCCACATTTATTATTTACACTTGAGTGATTCGATTTTTTCTCATCATTTTCATCTTTGTTTGCTGTAACATTATGTTTCAATATACATATATGGGTGGTTTTAATGAAGTTCATCTGTGGTTTTAACATTTATCTTATCTTTAGGAGCAATAAAGCCAAGTCGTCAAGGTTTTCCCGAGATGTCAACGTAAACTTGTATTAAAATATGGACAGATAAAAAAAAGGACTACTTGGACAAAGCATTTCTTTTTTAATGTTTGACCTTTCTAACGAATAAGGGAGGAGAATTTTTTTTGGCAATTTTTATTGTAACGTCAACCCATAAACTTTATATTTTAGAATGTCTTGTAATTCTCAAATCATTTTTGTGAAATTTAATATAAGGTATCAGAATCAAACTTAATAAGGGCAAATTTTGCTCCCACACTAATGTCATATCCGATACCAACTGGGGCCGAACCATTATTTTGTGGGATTTTATTCATTAATATTTATTTAGATATTAGAATTTATCTTCGGATTATATCCAGTAACAAGTATTTAAATACAAATGAAGAATTTATACTGCTTGAGGCCTGTCCACGAAATATTTTAACATTTTTACCGTCCGTTTAATAAAATTTTCGAAAAGCGATTTTGTACAAAATGCTTGAAAATTCAATAAAAGGCAATAACTATAGTGAAAAGGTCAGTTAGTCGGTAAAGAGTGTCCAAGGAGAAATTAGGAACCCGAACAAATATTTTGAAATCAAAAAAGAAATACATTTTCATGGTTGGTTGGTTTACGTGGTAGTTCACTACACGCGAATTGTCAAGTGGAATCGAAGTGACTCCGTTTTAACCGGACCACTCCACTCGTCAGATGTAGTATTTATAGTATTAGATCCATCCTGTAGCTGTCAGAAATCTGAGGATATCATTAAGCCTAGACTCAGATATCTCACCAAGGTTAGATATCAAGTAATTGCCAAGGAAGCGTAGGGCATTCACAGAGGAGATGGAAGACCGTTTCTTCCTTTTCCCTGTCTTTGCAACTGCGACAGTGATCATTGAAAGGAGCCCAAGCCGACATTGCATGTCTGCCTATTACCCAGTGTCCTATTATTACTGCTATCAGCCTCGATATGTCCCGCCTACTTCAGTTTATAAGGTGTCTTGTGCATTTCTTATTGAAGGAGGGCTACAATAACTTCGGTCCATTACATGTGTCTAGATTATTCCACCTATTTTCAGCCTTTTAAAGAAACAATCTGAGGATATTGCTTTGGAAATGTCAAGAGCAGACCCCTTTCTGGCAAGCTCATCTGCCTGTTCATTACCATGTTAGTCCCTATGCGTAGGGACCCAATCAAGGGTAATGTCAGATAGGCGACCCAGCCTTGACAGATCCTTCTTGCATTGTCTAACTAATAGGGAAGTGGTAGTATAAGAGTTTAGTGAGAGAAGTGCCGCTTGACTATCGACAATAATTCCTATGTTGCCGCGAATATTGAGGTCATGTAATACCCTACAGGTTGACATTATCGCAAATATTTCAGCTTGAAAAACAATACAGTTGTTGGGAAGACGGTGGTATATACTTACCCCAACTTCTGGTGGTATATTCTCTCTGTAGGTTACCTCTACATCACTCGCTCCTGAAAGGAACTCTGACTTAGAAAATTCTATCAAAGTCCGTGTGTGGGGTAATATAGTCGGATGGTTGGTTTAAGACTGGAGATAACAAGTTTAAAATCTTAGCGTGTCCATATTTTCTTGAATTCCAACTTCCGGATGAGTATATTTTCATAAAGGTATCAATAACTGGAAAATTTATATCGAGAAGTGTCTTGAAATGAAAACAAATTTAAATTAAAATGATCAAACGGTACAAAGTGATCAAAATTTTCGATATAAATTGCGATCAGTAGCTTTGCCACTGTAGCGAAGCTATAATATTGCACGAAGCTCTTACCTGTTGAGAGATATTGAATGTTGATTAATACGAATTTAAATAGGAATTACAGGTGATATAAAGTGGTCAACATTTTCGAAATATGTTGAGTATATTCTACTGTTGGAAATACAATTGTACAAAATCATTTTGGGGATTTTTATTCAATGAACGATATTTCGCAAATACTAAGAAAGTGCTCGTGTTTTGACAGTTACAAAATTTTGCTTATGACTAGTTAATAATAATGTGTAAATTTTTTCGTGAACAGGCCTTATAATTGGAACGGAAGCAGTCTTCTAGAGAGAAAAAACTTGATGTTAGCTGAATGACAGCCGAATGAAACGTTTATTTTTAAATGTCAAAAAGTACTGGTAATAGTACAAAGGTACTGGAGTCTGACTTTTAGCAAACGATATACATATATTTGAAACACTTTCTCTAAAAAAACCTATATAATAATAGAAAATGATCGACTTATAATAAAAGATGTAATAAACATTAGTTACGCATGAAAAATAATCTATTATTTACAGACTGTTCATGAACCTCATCAAATTACAATACATACTTTTTTATATAACCATATTAACAAAAAAAGGCGAAAAGCTTAAAAGGAACCCAATAAATATTTGTTTAATACATAAAATAAGTATTTGTTTTATTGGCAATAAAAACAGGCAATGATTTATGATGTTCTTTTGCCAACGGAAGCGATCAATTTCACTTTTGTTTTTTCCGTTTCAAACATTTATTTGAAATGAATATTGATTTATTGAAGCGAAGTTTATTTATAGGCGACATGAGAACATAAGTACTAAAAATATAAACTCATTAGCTAACTTATTGGTTATGGCATTTTAAACCTTCCTTTGATAATTTACTAACAACAGCAGCTTTAAAATTAAAAGCAAAAAAAAACAAACAAAACTTCTTTCCAAAAATATTAGATTTTGTGATTTTTTATTCAAAAGTATTTCTACTATAGATTCACCACAAAATTCTCCCACTACAACGCTTATGATAACACCACCTCCGCCTCGTACACCCACGCCACAGCAACAACTATATCAGATTGATTACCAGCAGCAGCAATTGAAAACACCTTCCAAAAATCCTAATGCCAGAAATCGTAATCGTTGTCTTAAGACCTCACCACGTGTTGTTGTTAACAAATCTTTAGAAATGGTGGATAATACGCCAGTGTCACCCTCTTCGTCTTCACCACCTTTGGCAGCCAGTTTACAACGTACTTTCTCGGTGGGTGAATTAATATGGGGACCAGCTCGTGGTTTCCCTGCGTGGCCCGGTAAAGTTGTTAAGATTCTCGACAATCAATCAGAATCAGTTTGGGTTCAATGGTTTGGCGGTGGTGGTCGTTCAAATACAGAAATTATGGCCATACATTTATTACAAAGTCTTTCCGAAGGTCTGGAAGCTCATCATAAGGCGCAAAAGGATACAAGAAAGTGAGCATTTATATTTTTTTGAATAAAACATTATTGGAGTAAGTTTAATTCAAAAAGGAATAGCAAAAACTTTAAAGTTATCGGATAGGATATAGGATATATATAGAATTTTAGGTTCCAAAGCAGGTCCAATTAAAGTTTTAGTAATTTTAGTGTAAATTTTAAATAGTTTGTGCTAAAATAAAAATGTTAGCGTCTTCAAAAAGGCCAACTTTGACTGTTTAATATTTTAGTTATTCGCCCCACTGTAATTTTAATCCAATCAATCTATATCAGTAATGAGTTTCTTAACTATATATATTTTTTTAATTTAAATTATTATTTTTATTACTTTTTTGTTTAAACTTAGTATGTATTTAGTTCTTCTACAATTGTACAATTCACAATTATTGTGGTATGGTTGTATCGTAGTATGTCATAATTTCTTTATTATTGTTTTGAAATTATTTGAAAATTTTGTATGACTTACAACGATACAACATTGATTGTGAATTGGACAAATAATTTTAGTTGTATGTATTTTATTTTACAAGTAATTTGGCTCAGTTTAGCAGGTTTTTAGAATTGTTTCAATAATGATTTTAGTTTTGTTTATTTGAAATATTTTTATCAAAATTTTTATATTTCACCTAATTTATTTTAAATACAAATTTAATTTAATTTTTATTTCTTTTAATTTTATTTTCTTACCTTATCAACATCAACTACCTTTTCCCAACTTAAATCCACCTTCTTAAAAACAAAACACAATCCCAACACACTTATAACACCCACAAACAAAACATTGAAAAATAAATCAATTCCAAAGGAGCCGAAAATTAAATTCCCAACTCGAAAAAGCTATACAAGAAGCAATGACCGAATTGGATCGTATTTCAGCTTCATCAACCACAACAACAACCACGCCAGCTGGTTCGGCCAAGCAAATACAACAACCCACATCATCTACACCCCATCAAAATAGTCCCAATCGTGCTAATAAACGTCCCATACCACGTACAGGTGGTTATGATTTGATTGCCGGCTTAAATAACAATACCTCATCGAATATTATTTCAACAACAACGGGTTCATCACAGCCCAGACACAAACCTATACGCATAGCACCAGCTCCACCAGGTGGCGCTGCCAACAACTCACCCACAAAATCTTCAACAAATGTTAATCAAATTAACACATCATCAGCGGCTTCAGCCGCCAAATGACATACTGCTCCCAAGGATTTGAATAAACCAGTGGTAAGTTCAAGTTCTATAACAAATACAACAACATCAACTACAACAACCGTTAATAATGGTAATCCACAGTTTTCGTGGTCCATGCAGGGTTATACTTTAGTAATACAAAGGAATTAAACATAATCGTGGTAAAAGTTTTGATGTTGTTGCTATAATTTTATGTGTAGCTAAGTAATAGCAAGTAACTCGTATTTGAATCATAACATAACCTTTTTACTACTAAATTTTTATCTGATAAATATATACAACTTATAAGTATGTATATATTTTTACTAAATATTAACAAGCTTAAGAACTAACAAAAGAAAATAAATTTAGTAGTTGAAAAAATAATTAAATTTTGATTTAGAACATCTTAAATCGACTTAAGTTAATTGTTATGATTTTGTATTTTCTATTAATTAAGTCTAACGGTTCTAGAGTTGAACTAAACAGAGAAACGAGATCAATTGTGGTAATGGAATTTGATTATATGGGTCTTTTTAGGTCCCAGCAACATATACTTCTATGTTTTGTAATCTAGAATTGAACCGAATTTGTTTATATCAACATGTATTATGAAAAAACCTTTGGAAAACTTTTGACAAAAAATTTAGCTACCATCATAAAAATCGATTATAGTAAAAATCGAAAATTCGCGGGTCGTTTTGATAGAAAAACCTTCCCCACTAAATATCTGACTTTCCGTATAACTTATGAAATAAAATTTGGGCTAAAAAGTCTCTTTGATACTTTCAGTTTTTTTACCTGGAAAGGTTGAGAAGTTTTAGGTCGGCTTTAAGCAGTGGTCCAATTGGTCTAAAATTTATAGTTTCAAATTTTTAAAATGATTTTTGATAGTTAGGTTGGTAGCTGGCCAAAATTTGGTAGGATTATCTGATCTGATTTTGTACTCTTACATGTAATTTTATAAAAATCGAGGATTACATTGATTTTGTGATTCCGTTTGTTGGGTAGTGGGTATTTTTATTAAGACGTCCGTCTGTTTAAAGTACGATAGTAGTCCGAAAGAAAGCACTAGACTGAACATTTTTTAATATATAATATGAATTGATTGATATTGTTTTTTTTTATCCTTCACCTTCGTGAGAAGGGTATATATAAGTTTGTCATTCCGTTTGTAATTTCTATAATATAATTTTCCAACCCTACAAAGTATATATATTTCGAGTCCTTATAGATAGCGGAGTCGATTAACCTATGTCCGTCTGTCTGTCTGTATGCTTGTTGAAACCAATTTTTCGAAGACCCCAGATATCCTTGGGATCCAAATCTTCAACAATTCTTTCTGGACTTTTGGTACTTTCAAAAGGTACTTTTTGAATTTTCTATACTATTGAACCTATTAATTGTGTAGAACCCGGATTGAGTGAGAACCCATAAAAGGCGACTTTTTGGTATTTTTTCGTTCTTCGAAATGTACTTTATGAATCTTCCATAATATTGAGCCTAGAAACTTGAAATTAAGTATGTAAAGCCCGGATTAAGTAAGAACCCATAAAATGGGACTTTTTGGTACTTTTTCCTTCTTCAAAAGGTACTTTTTACCATTGAACATTGAAACATGAAATTAAGTAAGCGAGAACATATAAAAGAGGACTTTTTAGTACTTTTTCCTTCTTCATGAAGCTACACGCCTGGTACCAAATTGACAACAAAGAGTTTATAATTTTTCAATAACTTCCGTTGTCAAAGTATGTATATACATACGTACGACAACACTATGTAATGTTGGCAACGCAACGTTGGCAACATTGCAACAATTCGTTGTCGAAAGCTAAATTTTATACACATCCGTTGTCTAAATGTTAACAAATGTGGTAAGCTCATTATTGGCAACGGATTGTTTGTCAATAGTGAGCTTACCACGTTTGTTAAAATTTAGACAACGGATGTGTATAAAATTTAGATTTCGACAACGAATTGTTGCAATGTTGTCAACATTACATAGTGTTGTCTTACGTAGGTATATACTTTGACAACGGATGGTATTGAAAATAAACAGTTTAGTGTCAATTTGGTACCAGGCGTGTATATTTATTTGTTTTTCCCTCTTAGATATGATAAAAAGACAAACCTTAATATATATATTACATACATATTTTTAAAAAGGCCATTAGATACACACCATTTTTTATTGCCTCTTTAGAACTATTCCCTGTCGAATTTTGATATACCAAAATAAATTTTCTACTAAATATACATGTTTAAAAATCATGACAACAAATCATAACTATTTAACCACAAATCAAGCTTGTTAAAAACTTATAATTTTAAAAACACAACTTTAAGTTACATATTGCAAAAATAGAGTAAAAAAAAAACAAACGAAGCATGGATTTAAAAAAATAATAAAATTTTGAATTCAAATCAGTTTATTTTAAATACCCTTTAATCCCAACACAAAAACCGGAAATAGACAATAAACAAATAAAGAAGAACAGAAATTATATTTTTTCAAATAGAAAGAAAATTATAAAGGCAGAATGTATTTACACCAAATAAAAAAAAAACACATAAAAACATAAATGGAAATTTTTAAAATATTTTCCATATAAAACAAAAATAAAAAAATAAAAAATATTAAAAAATTACTTACCAATCGCTTAAAAATTTTGCTCAGCAAAATTAAAATAAATTCTTACTGTGTAAATATTGTTTTTTTTTTGTTGCATTTTTATTTTGTTTCTTTTAAATTTTTAAAACTTTTTTTTAATAAAAATAAAAAAAAATTAATTATAATTAAAAAATATATAAAATAACCAAAAAAAAATCTCTTCAAATCTAAAATTTATAACATATTTATTTTTTTTTTCCTGTAAAAATAACAAATAACCTTAATAACAAAAAACAAAATATTCAATGTTAAAAACATTTGCCACATAAAAACAACAACAAAACAAAAAAGAAATAATCAAAATTATTACAAAATAATATTTAAACAAAAAACAATGTTTAATCATTACAACTTTAACTTATTAGCATTTAAGACAAAATGAACAAAAATATTGTTAAAATGAAATTTGTTTAAACAACAAAATCATTATAAAAACAAAAAACATTTTAAAATGTTTAAAAAAAACAAAACAAATATTATCATTTAAGTGAATTTTGTAGTTTTAAGAACAAAAAATAATTGTTATCACTTTTTATCCTTAAATTATAATTTTTTTTAAATATTTATTTTGTTTTTAATAATCAATTTTGTTTTCTTATTTTTTTAATTTATTATTAATTAATATTACTAATATATTTTTTTCTTTGGTTTTTATGTAGTAGTTTTGTTTAAATATTTGTTGTTATTTATTTATTTAGTTATTTTATTTGAAATTATAATTTTGAAAAATTAATTATTTAATCAATTAATTAATTTTGAAAAAGAATTCTAATTTTTTCTATTAAAAGTTGATTATATATTTTCTAGAAGATTTTTTAAATTCATGAAATTTTTTTTCTCTAAATTGTTTGATATTCATAAGAATCTAAAATAATGTTTTTAAATGTTTGTTTTTTTATATAAGGGCAATTTCATTTCAAGTTACCCAACTTTTAAAATCGATGTCTATCGATTGCATGATGATTTACACCAAGGTTCAGCCCTATTGGTCAAGAACTGCCGGAGTTAGAGCGAGTCAAAGTTGGACATTTTGTTCATACAGGGTGTTTTTTCAAATGAGAGTAACTTTTTACCTATCGGTCCTTGCAAAAATCGTCCAAAGGATGTAGATAGCAATTTCTTCAAACTTTCCAAAAAATTAAAAAAAAAATTCCATTAACCAACTATAAAGAAAAAGAAATATCTATTATTAGAGTACATGACCCATTTAGGTAATCCAAAAACTACCCCCCCTGTACACATTATTGAAGTTCATGATCCGTTTCGTAGTCCTATGTACTGCAGGCATGGATCATGTTTATTTTTATTTTCAAAAACAACATGGTCCATAGCCTGCATTACATGAAACCATGTAGCGGATCATGTACTCGTATAAATTTAGCAAGGAAGTAGTTTTGGGATTACACCGCTCTAATGCATGGGTGGATTACTTGGTCCTCACCTAGAAGCATGTTTTTTTTTTTCATATATTTAGATTTGTTTTGTACCAGTCCTAGCCCTTGAGGAGTACTCTTTACTCGCATGTGCGGACTAGTATACATATTTGCAAAATTTCTCTAGGGCCAATATTTAAAAAATTGCACTCATTTGAAAATAAACTCCTTATGATAAAAATGCCCAACTTTGACCCCCTCCGCTATAAAGCATGTTTTTTTCCATATATTTAGATTAGTTTTGTACTAGTGCTAGTCCTTGAAGAGTACTCTTTACTCCCATGTGCGGACTAGTATACATATTTTCAAAATTTCTCTAGGGCCAATATTTGAAAAGTTGCACTCATTTGAAAAAAACTCCTTATTATCAAAATGCCCAACTTTGACCCCCTCTAACTCCAGCAGTTCTTGACCGATAGAGCTGAAAATTTGTGACTGGCTTACTATCCAGTACTAACATTGGTGCAAATTCAACGGAAGACATCGATTTTAAAGGTTGGGTGACATGACACGAAATTGTCTATATAAAATTACAGGCAGTGGTAGTAACAACTACCAACCAATCACATAAAAATTCCCTCCTTATTAAAACGTTGATATCGGATTAAAATTATATTACAAGGTCTGATAACAACTCGATAAGCTCTTTAATAAAGAGTATATATGATCAGCCAATATGCTGATATATCTCTCATTCAAACAATCATCAGTTGATTGTGGCCCAATAGGCATTATAATCAATCCGATTCAATTTGCTATATGACTATGTACAGTTTTCCATTACATACACATTAGGCAAGTGAAGTGTACCAAGTCAATTCTGTTCGATTCAGTGCGTCTGCATTCAGTTCGAAAAGGCTAATTAGCAACAGCCTGCAAAATGAATTAGGAGATGATATTAACAATAATTGTTTATTGAAGTTGAAGATCAAACTCCATATGATTCAAAGAAACTTTATCCTTCATCAATATCTGGTTCATTATAACAAATTCAGAAAATTTCAGTTAAAATATCTCTTTATATCTTTTGTGTAGGACACAGCTGTCCGCCACACATAAACATTGCATTTTTAATCATCTCCAGTGGTTTGGTGGTTAGTGTTCTAGTCTGTTAGACAAGAGTTCGATTCCCACCACAGACACTGGTAAGGAGCTTGTAATGTAATCATAACATTCAACTGCTTGTAAGGAACTGAATATCACATTTTAAAAGAGTTTTCTTATTCCCCCAACTTAACATATTTTAGAGGTATTCCTATTGTTTTTCCGTCTATCCTTTTAATATAAAATTATTCCTCAAACAATTATTGAAAATCATTGTTTATTATTCTTTTCTAAAATTTATTTTAAGTACTTTTTGTTTATTTAAATATAACACAATTTTATGAACAACAGACCTAAACTTATGTAAAGTCTCTATATATATATATTTAAACAATTTAAAGGAAAATATGAAATTATTTAAAGAAACATGAAAAAAAAACAAAAGAATCATGAAAAATTCAATAAATTACAAAAAAAAAATCAATACATTAACTTACAAAAACAAACAATTGTTTTATTTAGTTGATAAGATCATGAAAACAAGGTAAGTTTAGTGAAAAACATCACCATTTAGCTAAGACATCAACCATTTTAATAATTTTCAAAGTATCACATACCTTAAGGCGCTTTTATTAACATGAATTTAGCGCCATCTGTTGGTGGCATAGAGGTAAAAAATAAAAGTGAAAAAATGAGTTTTACAGTCTGGCAACATTTACACGAATTTTCGACCACGCTACCAGTGTTGCCAGATTGTTTTTGCAAAAAAGTTGCAAAACAACTAGGGATTGCCAGATTGTTTTTTGTTAACGATGTAACATTTTTGTAGGTGGCGTTGCCAGACTGAGAAACTCGATTTTTGCAAATTTTTTCCAGCCCATAGGCCAAATGTAGATGGCGCTAATTTTATACAAATAAAAGCGCCTAAAAGTATGTGAAAGAAATTGAAAATTTAAGTGAAACAAAGCGTGATCAAAGTGCTCCCCATCAAATAAAAAGCATTGTTAGTAATTTTTATTAAATATTTATATTTCTTTTATTTTCATATATATATATATTTTTTAAATTAAAACTAGTATATTTTCAGAATCCAGGGAAAATGGTTTATAATTATTTAAGGTCTAATTTTTAAAGTTTAAAAATTTGTTCTGCTTGTCACTTGTGGCTGCAGTTGTAAGTTCTTCTCCAGACTGGTTGTCATCTTATAATGATTGGAAACAATATTATATATAAATGTTTCAAACAAAATTAAAAGAAAATTTTTATATTTAAAACAATAATAATAATAATAATAATAATGGTAATAAACCAAAGACAAATTTAAACTAATAATAGTATTTTGCTTTTCTTTGAGCTTAAATATTAGTTGCTTTTTTTAACATTTCATATTTTTTTATGCTATTTTTTTAGTTTACAAATGAGGCATAAATTAATGATATTTATATTACAAACTTATTTTGTGGTTTTTATTTATTTCTTTTTTTTCTTTTAATAAAACAAAAAAAAAAAAAAAACTATAATATAATAAAATTAAAAGTACTCAAACTTAAACAATAAAGTTCCATTAAGGTGTTTTCTATTACATTTGCAACTTCTTTTCTTTCATAATAAACGTAACTTAGATTGTATGAATTTCAAAATTTGCAACAGTTTGCTTAATGAAGAAATTGTAAGTTATTTTGTTTTGTTTTTAATCAATATTTTAGATATATAAAAATGTTTGTTAACTAATTTGATGTAATGACTTAATTTTATAATGTTTATAGATAAATAATCAAAATTTAATTTGAGTTTTGTTTTGTTTTTTTTTTCCATTTTGCAAGTTTTTCAACTATTTTTCATGTACAGCTTTGTGTTTAAAAACAATTTACTAAACTTATAAGTATGTATATATTTTATTTATTTCATTTTTCTGTTTTAAAATTAAGAATCAATAAAATTGTAAAATATAAACTCAAAATGCTGCTTTTTTTATTTTTTATTACGATTTTTTTTCAAATAGACCATCAGTACCAGCAGCTTTACAAAAAAAATTGTTTTTTCTATTTTATATAAACTTTTTACAAAATTGTTTATGTTTTACAGCAAAATTTGTTTTTTTTTATTTTTCTCTTAACGAGTTGTTGAGGTTTTTGTTTTATGATTGATAATGAACATGTTTGTATAATTACAACAATACATAAAGTACTAATAATTAGTAAATAATAAGCCTAACCATAATTAATATTTAGTTTTATAATGTAAAAAAATATTAATTATGTTTTGGCTTTCTTTTCATTATACAATATAAAATCTTAGTTATTTACAATATGTCTAGAAAGATAGTGTTTTATAATATCTAGCTAAATATTGTCATGATTTTAATTACTAAATTTTATTTTTTTTTTATTTTTCCCAATTAGTTTTTAAACTAAAATTTTATATTGTATAACTACATTAAAAATACATTGAACACCACTAAAAATATAAATATTTTTTGTGTTTTCTTTTCTTTAACACCTTTTTAAACGATTTGGTTATTTTTAATTAACATATTTAAAATTACAATATAGGAAAGAATGAACATAAAAAGACTTTTAAAAAATATAGTATACAAAAACATACGAATACATTAGTTATAAAAAAAACTAACACACACACAGCACTAAAATAATTACAATATAAATTTTCCTGAAAATGTTTAAAAACCTAAAAAAAATTGTTTTAAATATTTGTTTAAACAAAGAACATTTGTTTTAAATTTGTAGGGGGAGGGGGGGTGTATATGATGGTGGCTTTGAGATTTCAAAGTCTGTAAGTTATTTTCAAATATTATAAAGGAGCTCTTAGTTAATGGTTAAAATTTGTTTAAATTGAAATAAATAAAAAATAAAGTTGTTTAAGAAAGACAGAAATCCTAAGCATATTTATTGCAGTGAAGTGTTTTTGTTTAATATAAAAATTTTAACAATTTTACACGAAATTTTTAATTGTGTCTCGCAGATGAATGGTTTTGGATATCAGGATTTTAGTTCCTGTGTATTTCATAACAATTATGAAAACCAAATCTCTTTAGAACAAATGTGTAGTATTAGTTTTATACATTTTTAATTGGGGAATAGTTTCCATGAAGATCTAGGGAAAATTGAGAGACTTAACACTCGCAATCAAGTAATTTCTTCTACTAAGTTTTCTTCCTTTTTTGGGGAATTGTCTTGATTAACCTTCTGGTTAAAAGCCTTTGAAAATCATCATGTTTCCATTCATCTCTACTCTTTATCCATTTTCTTTTATTCTTACTTGTTTTCCTCTAGTGTTTTTGTTTCTGTCTTTGGGTCTTCACTCATTATGAAGGTAATCCCAATGGACCATAAAGTCTACGAAATTTTTAATTGTGGCTCGCAGATGAATGGTTTTGGATAGCAGGATTTTAGTTCTTGTGTATTTCATAACAATTATGAAAACCAAATCTCTTTAGAACAAATGAGTAGTATCAGTTTTATACATTTTTAATTTGGGAATAGGTTCCATGAAGATCTAGGGAAAATTGAGAGACTTAACACTCGCAATCAAGGGAATTAGTCTTAGTTCTGCTACTAAGTAATAGGATTATGAAAGTAATCCCAATGGACCATAAAGTCTACGAAATTTTTAATTGTGGCTCGCAGATGAATGGTTTTGGAAATCAGGATTTTAGTTCCTGTGTATTTCATAACAATTTTGAAAACCAAATCTCTTTAGAACAAATGAGTAGTATCAGTTTTATACATTTTTAATTGGGGATTAGGTTCCATGAAGATCTAGGGAAAATTGAGAGACTTAACACTCGCAATCAAGGGAATTAGTCTTAGTTCTGCAACTAAGTTTTCTTCCTTTTTTTGGGGAATTGTCTTGATTAACCTTCTGGTTGAAAGCCTGTTTCCATTCATCTGTACTCTTTACCCATTTTATTTCATTCTTACTTGTTTTCCTCTAGTGTTTTTGTTTCTCTGTTTTTGGATCTTCACTCATTATGAAAGGAATCATAATGGACCTTAAGGTCTATGAGTAGAGGTGCACCTTTTTGTGGAGCATAACCCTTCTTAAGCTAAACCTAAAAGAAAACATTTGTTTAACTCTTACATTTATACAGTTGCATAAACTAAGTTTAAAACTAATACATAAGTATTTAAAAAAAATAGTCAAATTTTTATTATTTCCGTTTATTTGCACATTTTGTTTTTTTCTCTCAAATTTATTATAAAATTTTGAAAAAAAGTCTAAATAATAAGATTGCTTAAAATGAAACTTCATTTATAATTTCTTTTTAGAAAACATTTCTAACATTCATGTTTCTCTCTTTTTTCTTCTTGTTTATCATCATAACACTACCAGCAATATGTAAAATTAAAATAAAGACAAAATAATTCTTTAATTACAAGTGAATAATGAGGTAATTCTTATAGGAATTAGGAAAAAATTACAAAATATAAAGAAATAAATGAATGATAAACTATATGATAAACTACTTAATTCATCACTAAAGATATTAAAGCAAATTTTACATACAAATAGAAAAAGAAAAGTTTGGGGAAAAAAATGGAAAAACGTAAAATAAAACTTAATAAGCTAAATGTAGAAAATAAATGAATATATGTAAAATTTAAATTATAAATCAATGAAATTTTTTAAGGTGGGGGTGGTAATAAAATACACAAAATTATTACAATTTTTTTTAATAAAAAATGTTACTCATTTTTTTTCATTTAAGAAAAACTTAGAATATTTCTTTTGCCATACATTAAAAAAAGGAAATTTGTGTCAAAACAAATTTTTAAGAAGCAAAAAAAGTTATAATTTTAAGCTTGAAAATTTAAAAGTACAACAAAAGAAGTTTTGAAAAGGGAAATTAAAAAAAGAAATATACAAAAACAATTGTATTTTTTTCAGAAAAAAAAAGAAAACTAAAAATTAATAGTGGTTAATAAGTGAAATAAAAGAAAGAGCTCCTATTTCTTAATTATAAAATTATTATTATAATAATAAAATGAAATTTCTAATTATTGTAAATATGTTTGTAGGTAAGTATGTTACAACAATTACAATGTTTTTTTTTTTTGTTTTTGTAGAATTTTAACTTAAAAATTGAAATGATTAGTTGTTTACTGTAAAAAGTTTGTAATCAAATTTTAAAACTTTTAAAAGAAAAACTTACAAAAATTAAGTTTTTAAAATTTCCATTTTTTTGTTAAAAAAATTGCTGCTTTTTTTTTTTGTAGGTTGGCTGCTGTGTGTTGTGTTGTTGTTGTAGTTGTTTGTAGCAGTGTTGAGTTTTGTTGTATCAGTTGTTTTTCTTAGCTTTTGTTGTAAATTTTTGTTTAAATTATTTTGTTTTTTTTGTGAAATTTGTTTAAAAATTAAGAAAGAAAATTGGTTGTTTGTTGTTTAGTATTATAGAAATTAAAAAAATGTTGTTATTAATTAATAATAACCAAATCGTGCCAATTCTCATCTTGATAAACTGTGTGAACGTTCACGGCTGCTGCTACCAGACGAGGCGGGTTGCATTACTTTTGAGGCTGGATCACCTACACGCTGATGTGGTGGGAGTTTATCAAAGAATGGATGACGTAAAGCTTCACCTATAATTGTTGTCGTATGCGTGTTTATGTTAATAAAATATTGAAAAAGAATACAAAAGAAATTAGAACATTTTGTTTTAAATTTATCATGAATATGTTGACTTTCTGTTTGTGTTCTGTTGTTCATTTCATACCTTAGTTTTATTGCTAAATGAAAATATTTGAATTTTTGGTTTTATAAATTGTAAAGTTTTTTTCATATCGTATTCTCCTAAATCTTTTCTTGTGAAATTCGTTAAGCCACAAAATTTGAAGCTTCGTTGTGGAAATTTGAATTCTAATTTCAGATTTCTATCTAGCTTCTAGGCAAAACAGCCACAGATTCTGCTTTTTCAGAGAGATAAGATAGCGAGATTTCGTAGCAAACATGATTGCTAATCAAAACCAAAAATTCAAAGATTTTCGTTCATGTTTCTTGCATATAAAGACATTTTGCCAAATATTCTCATTTTTTGAAGAAGACAAGTACACATTGAACAAAGAAAACTTACTCGTTTTGGAAGAAAACAGAGCAAACCTACCTGTGCATAAAACTAAAATGAGAAATTTGGCAAAAAACAATCATACAAACATGTGGCAAACACGTAAAGTTAGACATTGGAAAAATTTTAATAAAATATTCGAAATATTTTGAAACTCAAAATAAAACAATATTTTAAAAATCTTCAATTTAGAAATTTGATATTTTCAGAAATTGACTAAATTAAAATATATTTTTATGAATCATCAGAATTAAGAATTTAAAAATGTTCGAATTTTCATGTTATGAAACACAATATGTACGACCATGGGCATTATGAAACACAATTTTATTCCAAAATACGATCATGGACATTATGTTAATACCACTTCTCGTAGGATATTGGCGTTTCTGTTTGACATTTAATCCTGTTTAAAAATCACAATTGTTATACCCTACACCACTATAGTGGGAAGAGTATTATGCGTTTTTGCTGATGTTTGTAACGCACTAAAATATTAGTACTATACCCACCTTTAAGTCGATTTAACGATGCCCGTCCGTCCTTCCGACTGTCCGTGTGTCCATCCATGTAAACGTTGTTATCAAGGTACAGGTCGCAATTTTCAAGATAATTTGATGAAATTTGGCATACACGTTTCTTTTGAAACAAGGACGAATGGTTAAAATCTGTCCATTATTTCACCTAGCCCCCATACAACTGAATCCCCCGAAAAGGGCTTTTAAACTCATAATTCTGTATAATATAAATTCTCGATAAAAGTTCGTACAACTAAGTTTTATACAAGCCTTGATGACCTTTCGAATTTCGAAATGATCGGACTTCATTTGACCCAAAGTATATTAATAAAGTAGCGACATCTCTTGTTGTACAACAACATCTACAACAACCACATATTTTTTGTTTTTGGAATAATTTAAGATTGTGTCAAAATAAAATTGCCTTGAACAACAATGTGAACAAAACATAAATAAAAAATATTACTTTTAAGTTAAAAATATTAACAATTTAATTATATTATTATATATTATACAATTTATTACACTTTTAAACTACTTTAAAACCACTTTTAATTCACTTTTTCAACTTTTCACAAATTTTAACAAATAGCAAAACACAATTTAAAAATGGCGACGTAAACAATGTTAACAATTTTCAAAACAAACTTTGACAACTTGCTTCATTTATCTAGTTTAAAAAAAATAGTCAGCTGTTCAAGTGATGCTACTTTATTAATATACTTTGATTTGACCCTAGCCCCCATACAAAGCCCCCTTCGGAAAATGACTTGAATATCCGCAATTCACTCATTAACACTGTTATTGCAATGAAATTTATCACAGACAAATATTATATAAATATAAATCTATCTAGCCCATTTTATCGGGATCGGTTCACTTTTGCTCCTATCCCCCATATAAAGCCTCTTTCAGAAAATTAGTTTTTCGTAAATAAATTGCTTAAATAAATCGGAATCAAGGTAATATTCCAGATAAATGCTTTAGTATGAAAAATAGATCACATTTAATATTCATAACTGGTGTAGGGTATCATATGGTAGGCCACGCCCGACTATACTTTCTTACTTGTTTTTATTATACAATTATAAAAAACATTGATATGTTAATATCAATAAAAATCCACATCATTTACAATAAAACCATTGATATTTAAAGAACAACATGGTACATAACACATAGTCAAAATTACAAAAAAAAAAAAACATAAACATAAAAGGAAAAAACGCACTCACCTAACGTAACACGTTGTGATGGTTCATACTCCAACATTTTCTTAATTAAATCAAATAATTCACAATGATCTTCACTATCACTCATTTGATATCTAAATAGTGGCTTACAATGATCGCGCACATAACGACCGGCCGATGATTTCTCATCCCAATCCAACTTACCATGATAGAAATATTTTGTTTTAGTTTTGCTGTAAAGAACATGATTGCTATAGGTTAATCGAATTTCATGAAGTAAACTGCGCCTTTAAATAATGAAAGCATGTTAAGTTTATACATTACCGTGCCATACGATATGGTATCTGTCCAAGTATACGTTCCATCATGGCAAGATGTTCACGATTGTCATGGGTTTGGAATAGTGTTATGCCCAAATAAAGTTCAAAGAGTATACAGCTAGAGAATTAAAAACAAAAATAAACATTTTGAATTACAATTATCGTTCGTGTTCTACATGATTGTTTCAAATACTTACCCTATAGACCAAACATCACATGGTTGGGACCAACCCAATTCGAGTATAACTTCTGGTGCACGATAATGACGTGTCGATACTATGGTACTATGATGTTCATGATCGAAAGTGGCTGAACCAAAATCGATTAGACGTACATCGGTATTTTTGACACGTCTTACTTCACGATTCTAAAAAAATAAGAAAAATATTCATATAATTAGGAATTAAATAGTTTAATATCTTTCAAAACTGTACTCACAATCTTATGATTATAATGTGTATTGTATTCTGAATCAACAAAAAGTATATTTTCAGGCTTTAAGTCTGTGTGCGTTAAACGATTGTCATGTAAAAATTTCACAGAATAGCACAGCTGATAGGCCATGTGTCTCACTTGTTCCAATGGATATGGTTCGTAGTTGTTCTCACGCTAAAAAGTTTATAATAAAAATTTATTTTATATTAAAAAAAAATTAGCTTTATGTGTAAATTTTAGCAAATATGACAGGATTTAAAAGTTAGAAATTTTTAAGGATTTTGAGTGAATTATTTTAAGGATTTATATTATTTTTCTTAATATTTTTTTAACTTACCAAGAAATCGAAAACACTCAAACCTAACATTTCAAAAGCAATGCACATGTGTCCGTGATAATCGAACCAATCTATCATTTTTACGCACAAACTGAAATAAAAATTAAAAAAAAAAAAAAAAAAAAAATTAATTAAAATAGACTAGACTAAAGACTAGACTTAAGACTAGTCTATAGACTAGACTATAGACCAGACTATAGACTAGACTATAGACTAGACTATAGACTTAACTTTAGACTTGACTATAGACTAGACTATAGACCAGACTATAGACTAGACTATAGACTAGACTATAGACTAGACTATAGACTTAACTTTAGACTTGACTATAGACTAGACTATAGACTTCACTATATACTAGACTATAGACTAGACTATAGACTAACTTTAGACTTGACTATAGACTAGACTATAGACTTCACCATATACTAGACTATAGACTAGACTATAGACTAGACTATAGACTAGACTATAGACTAGACAATAGACTAGTCTATAGACTAGACTATAGACTAGACTATACACTAGACTATAGACTAGACTATAGATTAGACTATAGACTAGACTATAGACTAGACTATAGACTAGACTATAGATTAGACTATAGACTAGACTATAGACTAGACTATAGATTAGACTATAGACTAGACTATAGACTAGACTATAGACTGGACTATAGACTAGACTATAGACTAGACTATAGACTAGACTATAGACTATAGACTAGACTATAGACTAGACTATAGACTAGACTATGGACTAGACTATAGACTAGACTATAGACTAGACTATAGACTAGACTATAGACTAGACTATAGACTAGACTATAGACTAGACTATAGACTAGACTATAGACTAGACTATAGACTAGACTATAGACTAGACTATAGACTAGACTATAGACTAGACTATAGACTAGACTATAGACTAGACTATAGACTAGACTATAGACTAGACTATAGACTAGACTATAGACTAGACTATAGACTAGACTATAGACTAGACTATAGACTAGACTATAGACTAGACTATAGACTAGACTAGACTATAGACTAGACTATAGACTAGACTATAGACTAGACTATAGACTAGACTATAGACTAGACTATAGACTAGACTATAGACTAGACTATAGACTAGACTATAGACTAGACTATAGACTAGACTATAGACTAGACTATAGACTAGACTATAGACTAGACTATAGACTAGACTATAGACTAGACTATAGACTAGACTATAGACTAGACTATAGACTAGACTATAGACTAGACTATAGACTAGACTATAGACTAGACTATAGACTAGACTAGACTATAGACTAGACTATAGACTAGACTATAGACTAGACTATAGACTAGACTATAGACTAGACTATAGACTAGACTATAGACTAGACTATAGACTATAGACTAGACTATAGACTAGACTATAGACTAGACTATAGACTAGACTAGACTAGACTATAGACTAGACTATAGACTAGACTATAGACTAGACTATAGACTAGACTATAGACTAGACTATAGACTAGACTATAGACTAGACTATAGACTAGACTATAGACTAGACTATAGACTAGACTATAGACTAGACTATGGATTAGACTATGGACTAGACTCTAGACTAGACTATAGACTAGACTATAGACTAGACTATAGACTAGACTATAGACTAGACTATAGACTAGACTATAGACTAGACTATAGACTAGACTATAGACTAGACTATAGACTAGACTATAGACTAGACTATAGACTAGACTATAGACAGACTATAGACTAGACTATAGACTAGACTAGCCTACAGACTAGACTACACACTTTAGACTATGAGATCACAGAACTAGTCATGGAATAGTATTTAACTTAGCAATGGTTTAAACTTTAAATCATAACTTTAACAAATGCTTATGAATAAGACAGTTATATTTAAAATAAAAAATTACAAAACTACATTCAACTTACTGTTCACAATTTGGATCCTTTTGTGCAATCTTTTCTAAAGCATTAATTTCCAATTTGGCAGCTTCACGATATTTTTCCACATTCTTAATGATTTTCAAGGCCATACAAAAGTCCCTTTAATAATAAAAAACACATACACACACATACAAATTAAATAAATTTCAAAACATTTTTCATAATAAAACCCACCTTTCCATATCTTTGACCTTGACAACACGTCCAAATGTACCTTCACCGAGGGTGGCCATGATTTTATCTGAAAATTTATAGAAAAATCCTTATTGAGTAAAGAAATGAACTTGAGCGCTTAATAAAAGTTCATTAATATTATGTTATTTAAAAATTAATAAAACCTGATTTATATATAGGACACTGGACTATAAAATATTGTGAGAAATAAGAAATCTACGGATATATATATAAATTTGAATACTTGAGATAATGTTGTGGAAATAATTGGAAGGGGTTTTATAACGTAAAAAAATTTGTATAAAAAATAAATTAAATATGAAAACTAAGCGCGTTTTATAAAAGGGAAAATCATAAAAGAAAATAAAGGGATGTAATACTTTCATATTGAAATGGTTTTCGGTAATGTAAAGCTTTAAAGCTTTAATAAATTAAACTTAAACAGCAAAATAAAGAATATTTATAAAAATTTTAATTAATTTAATAAAAATCACTACATATAAACGTTTATTAAAGTTAAAGAAGTCATTTTTTAAAATAGATTTTATTATAACTTTAATCAACGTTAATGATTACTCATAAACGAAATTTGAGTTTCTTTTTAAAAGGAAACACACAAGTAATGTATTACATTTCAAGGTTTATTGGGGGAGGGGGCTAAATGAATTCATAGACATTTTTATGTTAAAACTGTTTTCAAAATAAAATTTCAAATAATTAAAACGCGCTTTTTAATTAAATAAATTATTTGGAAAATAAATTTAAGAAAAACAAAAAAACAAGAGAAGAAAACAGTTACTGAAATGAAATATTGAATAAAAATATTGAGTTGTGATTAGAACAAAACGTAATTTGTTCAGAATTTTTGTTTATCTTCCTTTGTTTAGTTATGTAGGGTTTATAGTAACCTAACAAGATGGCGAGAAGCCTCTCCCTTTTCATTTTTTTTGGTCCTAAATATTTTTCAGTAAATGGAAATATAGTAAAAAATAGGAATAGGAAAAAAATTAAAAAAAACAAAAAAATGTCACGAACATCTGTGATGAAGTATATCGCCAGAGTGATAAATCAAGTGGCCATCAGGATCATCTTGTATGACGGGCTTTGCTGTCTGTGATATTTTCAAGATTTGACCAAAGGTATAAAGAAGGCAAAACGTTGGTGGTGTTTTTGGTTTTGATTGAATTTACAGTTTCGGAACGTTGAAAGAAAACAGCAACAACAGCAGTAGCAGCAGGTTTTTAGAAGCAGAAATCAGCAATAGGGAGACAACAGTTGATTTTCAGTTGCAAGACGTTGTTTTTAGGTTTCGTTTGTTTGAGAAGGGATGTTGTGGATTTGAGATTTTGTGTCATTGGGTCGATTTGAGAGGTTGAGTTTTGAGGTTGAATTGGTCATCATTCAAAAAACATATAAGAAAGAGAGAAAAAAAAGAAAAAAAGAAAAAACAGAGAAAAAAAGAAAAAAAAAAATATCCATGGCATCAACAAACAACGTCATTAACAGCGACATCATCATTGAAAACGTCATCATTACAGCAACCGCAGAAAAGTCCAATTCAAAACATCAGCATTTTCGTTGTCCAATATTATTGGGAAATAACAGCCAAGTTATTAAAAACATCATTGTCATCATATCCCACGTTGACACCACATTTTTTTTTTTTTGATTAATACCAATTTTTTGAAATATTTCCCCAAAAGCAAAGCCATAATATTCCATCATCATCATCATCGTTCAAAATCATAGTCATCATCATCATCATCATAAACATCATAGTGATAATCATCATCATACATAATCAAGAAAAACACGAAAAAAATACGTTCGTTTTTTCGATAAGAAAATTAGTTCGGACAAATTGTTGTTTTTGTATTTGTTATTACAAAAACTAGCAATTGTTTATTTTTTATATATAAAATATTATGTTTTTTTTTTAAATTAATATTACAAGTTACAATTAATTATATATACATAGTGTTAACATTTAAATTAGATTTATTAGTATTAAAAAAAAGAACAAAAAATATTTAAAAGATTTTAAAAATTTTAAAAGAAACTTTTAATATTAGATTTTAATTTGAAAAAAGAAGAAATTAACAAAATAAATTCAAATTGTTATAAAAAATGCATAATTTTTTTGTCGTTAACATAGAGCTGTTTTAATATAAAACTAAACAAATCTTAAGACTATTTTAAACATTGTATTATTTTTTAAAAAATTTCAAACTGTTGTATCATCTGAAACTTTAGTATAAGTAGAAAAGAAATCAGATGAAATGACAGCTTGAAAAAATATTTTTTCAATATAAAAAAATGTTGTTGGGCATCATTATTCATGTTAAAAAAATATTTCCCCTAAGGGGTAAACAACATTTTATTTTATAAACGGTTTATAACACAAAATTGTCATACAAAAATTGTGTTATAAACCGTTTATAAAATACAAATTTATTTGTTTTGAAACAAAATCCTGACTGGGAAATCCTTTTTTTTTTTAATTTTTGTTTCAAAAGTTGTTTTAAGACTTGAAAATAGTTCTAAGATATAGATAAAGAATAATTTATCTAATTAAAGACAATTTTTTATTTAAAAAATTTCTAATTTTTTTCCTATAATTAGTTAAAGTACATACAAAATTATCAAATTTCATTTTGTTAATAAACATTTTAATTATTTTATTATAAACCTCATAAACATCATCATGCCCATTTAAAAAAAAAAGCTTTTGTATTAAAAACACAAATTCACATTCGAAAACTCAAAAATATATAATTGCGTGTAAAAATGTGTACAGGAAACTGTATTAAGTTAGAAGAGGAGGGGAAAAAAGGAACATTGCTGAAGGGGAATACAGTAGTAAATATTTGAAATAATACTGACGTTTGAAGAAAGACAACATTCTATACAGTAAAGAAAAACTAAAGCTTGGAAATAAAATGCATTATTATTTCATTTATACATTTTCGTTTAGGAAAATGACAAGACGAGCATTTAAAGCGCAAAGCAAAAGTAAGCGTTAAAAAGAATTTTTTTTTTTTGTTTTTTCTAATATTATTATTATTAATAATAAATAAAATTGTTTAGAAAACTTGAAAATAGTGATCTTACAAAAGACGAAAAAGTTTTTGGAATGCGTGACCTATGAAAAAGAGACGAAGATGTGGCACTTTTTGATAGTTGATGTTGTTGTTGATAGTGTTGTTGCTGTTGATAAGCTTGCAATTGTTGTCGTTGATATGCGGTTAACGTTGAAGATGCACCCGCTGCGCCAGTAGCTGTAGGACGTCTACTACTACTGCTCGGACCATAGGCAGAAGTGTATGGATCATAGAGATATGAGGATTTATAAGAGTCTAGGTAATGATCACGTGTGGCGGGGTAACGTGTTGCTGGTCCGGAATTTTCAAATTCACTTAAAACCGCGGCAGTACGTGAGGTGGCAGCACCCGAGTAGGGTTTTTGCTGTCTTGTAGATGTTCCACTAAGACCTAAGCGCTCACTTATGCCCCCAAATGCTAAAGCACCCGAACTAGATGAGTGCATGAGACCCGAAGATGAGGTAGAGGGTTTGACTATGGGTTGTGGTCTGTACTTAGAAAGATCATTGTCAATTTTGTCGTTATTTAGGAAACGTGTAGTGTTTGAGGTAGAGGATGTGGTGGAGGATGAGGGAATATTTGTTGTTACTTTAGCATCAGTAGGAACTTTGTCTTTAGTGGTGGCATCTAAAGTAGGTTTGGTAGTGGTGGAGGTGTTAGTGGTGGCTGTGCTATTCTGTGTAGTGGTGGTGGTGGTGGTAGTAGGTTTTGTTGCTTTAGTACTCGACTGTGTATTATCATCAGAACTTGTCTCTGATTCTTCCTCATCCTCTTCGTCTTCGGAAGAGGTGGAACTATCAGTTGTATCAGTTTCGTTAGTTACTTTTTTAGAGCGTATTTTCTTCTTGGGCTGCATATCCTCTTCCTTTAAGCCGTTACATTCATTGTTCTCCTTAACGGTATCCTTAACCGCCTCCTTATTGGCTATGTCGGCATTGTTGTTGTTGGCATCCTGTTTTTTAGCCTTTTCCTTTTCACGCTCCCTTTCTCTTTCTCTTTCCTTCTCTAATTCCTTTTCCTTTTCTTCCAGAGCCTTTTGTTTTTCCTTTTCCTTCTCAGCTTCTAGGGCATAACGGGCCATACGCTCTTTGAGCTCTGTACGTTTACGCATGCGTTCTTCAAACTTTTTTGCTTCTAGATATTGGCCATCATCACGTAAAGCTATAAGAATGGCAGCATTATCAGCAGATGAACGATCATCGTTTAATATTTCTAATTCTTCTTCAGACATCTTATTACTTGTGGCTGGTCGGTGGGTTGAAGATCCCACTGATGTAACATCTGGACGTTTATGGGCAAAACGATTGCGAGAGTTTAAGGCATGATTGTTGCGGTCTACAAACTCATCCGGTGGCGGTTCATAACGCGGCCGTCCGCCAGCTGAAGCCTCGCCGATTGCTGAAACAAGGCTGTCACAGGTCTTGTTGCGGCCATAGGCTTTTTGTCTTCTCTCCCCCAAAGCGCTGGAGGTGCTGGAATTTGTATTAGAGGCAGATGTATCATTTGTATCATAACGTGAACTGGGACCTAATCGTGAACCATCATAGTAATTACTGTAATCCAAGCCACTACGTGGTTTATAACTAGAAGCATATTCACCTTGACGTCCATAACGTGACGTACTGGGATCATACTCATCATGATAACGATGATCGTAATGTGTGCCATAATTACGTGCACCCGTCCTATATCTACTGCCACCATAATCTAGTGGGTAGTTATCATCTACCAGGGCTGAATCAGCCCCCACACCCCGACCATTTGTCGAACTAGCTGTGGTCAAATAACCACTGTCATTTGAGTCCCCCAAATATCTTGACTTATTTTTATGCAATCTATAGGGGGTACGTTCTTTACGATCGGCGGCATTAAAGGATGAGGAGGAAAGTTTAGGTTTTGCAGCCAACAATTGATGTGTAGTGGCGGAGCGAGCCAAAGGATTAAGATTTTCATCGGGTTCTAGGGTTTTATCACGATCATCATGTTTGCGACGACCTAAAATATCAGAATATTTATTTTCTAACCTAGATACTGCGCTGGAGGAGGTGGAAGCTACTGGTGTTTTGTCTTTATCATTGTCTTTACGCTAAAATTTTTGGGAAATATGAAATAAATTAGATTTATTTGAAAGTAGACTATGTTTTGGGATTTTCTGGCTGCAGCTGGAAATTTATTTTTATGCCTTGATTTCTTAAAAAAAATATTTAAATTTACTTTTATAATTAATATAGACTATAAAAATAAAATTAATATTATGTTAAATCAAAATGACTCCTACAGATTTTTTTTTTTGTCTTTTTATACTTAAACGCAACGCAATAATGAAAATATAAACAAAATTGAAAAATATTTTCTTGTATTTTGTCGGTTTCTATACAGTTTCAAAAAATTTCAAATCCATAAACGACCTTCAAAATAAAAGACAAGAAAAATAAAACACATTTTCTTAATATTTACTAAAATAGAGAAGATACGTGAAAATAGAATTGAAAAAAAAAAAAAAAATGTGCACTAAATTCTTGTTGTTTTTGTAAACTACTCCGACATTGGGTGTATTATTGGCTACCTCGGTACGTTTGGTTGTATTAGAATAAAAACTAAAGATTAATTTATTTTTTTTTTTTTTAAATTTTGCTCAAATCTAACATCGAGACACTGAATTTTCATAGTTGCATTTTAAATATTTTTGTTTGTTTTATAGAAATAGAAAATATATTTAAAAAGAAAATCTTATAAATTATTAGGATAATATCGGTGAGCTAAATATTCATGAATGAACTTGAATTTGTTTGTTTTAATTATTAAATTTATTTTTAATAAATGACATAATTTTAATTGAAATGAAAAAAAAATTATATTTAATTGGCAATTAAAAACACTTTAATATTCATAATGGTTTTTAAATGTTATTTATAAAATTTATGGATTTTATAGATTTTGATTTTCTAAATATATTTGAATTTCACATTAATCCTAGAGAAATTTAACAAATATTTTCACAGATCTGATT